TATACCAATTGATCGCCGATGCCTGTATCCGATCTGACACTTAAAGAATTATTATATAGGCCCTATATATATATATATTTTTTAAGAGGACTCACGCTGTAGGTCATCTAGTTGATTTCTTCGGTTCAAATAAATTCCATTACACAATCGAGTTTTCCTGCATAAATTAGTTTACTTTCAGACCAGCCTACAACAACAACAACAACAACAACAACAACAACAACAACAACAACACCACCACCACCACCACCACCACCAACAACAACAACAACAACAACAACAACAACAACAACAACAACAACAACAACTGGTACAGTGATCGCATACAATAACGGTGTAGACTTGGAAGAAGAACAAACCCAACATAACAACGATCAATGTCCATTGCAGCATTGTGTTGTAAGAGAAAATATGTAAAATTTGCTCATGATGGCTGTTTCTCAATTAAACATTACGCCGCTTCAAAAAACTTTATAAACGTATTTTCGCTTTTTGAGAAAAAAAAAAGTCACTGTGTAAAACAAAGCCTAAGTAACCAGCAGATGTGCTGACAATAAAGGAGGTCCGCCCACTGGACGTTTATTGACAAAATACCACATAATTATACTTGGATTATTTACTTTACTTTACTTCACTCTCTTTACCAAGGTCTATAACTTCTCTCACCCCTTGGGTGTTTTAAACGTCCTCATCTATATTATTATATTTGTGAAAGTTCGTTACTTTTGTAGCAAAAAATAATAACTGTGGTTCAGGATCTTTTAAAGGGTGCATAGATACATTAAGGAGTTGGTTGGAAGTCACTGTAGTTTAGTTTTCAGTTTTCAGTTTTTCATTAGTTTCCTTTAGATCTATCTTGAGAGAGTCCGTCTTCTAATACGCCATTATAAACAAGTGAGGCTTCTGTTCACAAACAACAAACATGTATATATTATTTATATGCAGTGCGCACAGTTTCCACAATGACTTGACGATCTGAGTCTGTTCATCGAACGGGTACCTTGCTACATCTAATCAGTTCATATTGGACAACTGTTATCGCTCTTATTATAAGTATTATTGTCTTTGTGCGTACATATTCTCCGGAAGCCATGCATAGAGTAAATATATTCATTCTTTCTGATTTATCCCAGGCAACATTAATTGTTATATCATGATATTAAATGTTAATCTTCTGATTCATTTAGAAGCCAGTTCAGATAATTTCTGTTGGTAAATTTATGAAGTCATAATATCTAGATCTTTTCTAAGAACACTGTGTAGCCTTCTGATTATGTTCGGGGTTGAGCGTTACGTAAATTGTCATACTATGTTGTTGTTGTTGTTGTTGTTGTTGTTGTTGCTATTGTTGTTGTTGTTGTTGTCGAAATTATAATAATTATTATTATTGTTGTTATTATTATTACTATTATTATTATTA